GGGATGTCTGCTGTATGGAGCTTGGCGCAGATCAGCAACTGCCACAACCTGCCACTTAAATTATACTGGAAGGAATAATGGGATTGTCGAACTAGTGTTGTTAAGTATGAGTGTGGTAGGAAAGAGGATATAGGACAAACAGTTATCAGACGAACACAACCCAAACCATTAACATCTTTTAGCGTTCTTCAGTGATTTTTCTTAATTTTTTACGTTGGCTCGTACGAAATTAAATATTCTTAATTCGTTTCATCAGTATTTTGATTACCTACGAATGTCCAGTTAATCGTGATATCAAAATGTGTAAATCTGAATTTAACTTGTTCAGGAGCAGGTATGAATGATGCAATCACGTTGACCTCACGATAAGGTATGCAATGTTAATGCTGTACAACTAATCTGGTTATTGCTAGTTTGTTTCTTTTACTAGTCCCGGAAAGATTGAAGCCATTGTTTGTTTCCGGACATAGAAAACCTGTATTGGTCACAGGGTCTTTATACAGGGTTACGATCATGGCAAGATGGTCAGAAATAAGATGTGTAGAGAAGTGTTCTTTCATGTATATAGTTAATGTGAGAAACTTGGTGGATTAAATAGTTGTTAGTTGGGTCTGATGCGTTTAAGAAATCACTGTGCAGTGATCAGATACCCGGAACAAATGTTGTCCGTGGTAATTGTACATGTAGAAAGCTTGCACGTTTGGTTTTTATCCATCCGATATAGTCTTCCTTAACGTTAAAATATATCGCTAAACTTTATCGTAGAAATTTCTCATCGGATGCTAGAAATAGTTCCTGGCGTGTTTATGGCAGGTGTTATTTAATTTTGTCTCGACTATAATGCTTTCAGACTTTTAAGTAATTTGGAGATTGCTGTATAATTTTAATTCTAGATGCTATCATGTTTTGAGAGTCTTGGTTGGTAACGATGCTTGGATGGTGTCAGTTTCGTCACTTAAGAGTGCCAAGTGAATGTCTTCATAAATATTGATGCTCGCGTTCCTTGTGTACGGAAGGAGACTAAAGTCTACACTAGCCATGTCATCAATCATACTACCATGCAAGAAGAGGCGCGTATCTATGGATCAATCAGTATAATCGATCGTAGATTTTACTATTCGGCTATACGTATATCTGGGAGATTGTATTACGTATTGATGATCGACCTTGGCAAGTGTCGACCAGATTATTAGCACATCCATTAAACTAGCCAAAACCGTTTTGTTAAACTGTAACTAGATCGCCAGTGTTTTAACTTTGCTAAACGAATTCTGGGGTTCACTTCCAGAGCACATCATGTTCCTCTAACCTTTTTACCAGCACCACGCGTTCGATTGGTATGGGGTGCATAATAACTTAAAACTATTTTATTGTGAATTATGCAATAAAAGTATTGAGTGTCCTTACTGCAGGTAGAGCCTTGCAGGTGACTGTACCTTGCATCCCCCGCCCACTTAGCTGGGGGCATAACTGGCACTTAGCTGGGGGCATAACTGGCACTTAGCTGGGGGCATAACTGGCACTTAGCTGGAGGCATAACTGGCACTTAGCTGGGGGCATAACTGGCACTTAGCTGGGGGCATAACTGGTACTTAGCTGGGGGCATAACTGGCACTTAGCTGGGGGCATAACTGGCACTTAGCTAGGGGCATAACTGGACAAATATAAATGGTATGCAACAAGCTCACCACTAGTGTAGAGCATTCTGTGACTGAGGATCAGTTCGGAGTCTGTAATAGAGTAAACTAAACATTATTAAGCGTCACGCAAATGCAAAGGTTTTGGCCATCTATAAGTTTACTTGCCGTTAGTTTCCAGAGTTTTTACACCCGCAGCCCAGCCAGGGTCCAAGGCTTAGGTGATAGCTTGGTAGCTATGCCCTCCCCCCCCCCCCCCAACAACCTCCCACATACAAATTCACTGTTGTACCACGTACGTTACTCCTAATATTCTGAGCTCTGCATAAGCATAAATACAGGTATATTGTGGTAAGTTACTCGTACAGAGCCGTGTAGTAGAAACGCTGCTGTTGTTGTTGTTATAGATTCAGCTACTCGGAACAAGTTCCAAGTAGCACGGGCTATGGTGAGCCCGTAGTGGACTTACCTGGCACAGGAGCGGTGCTGTGAGAGAGAGGCTGCTTCATGGGGCTGCATATAACTGTCCGGCATGAGGGGTGAGAGACCCTGACCTCGGGGTGGGCATCAGCTGGCGAGGTAAGGGTGCCGCTGTACAGTAAAGGCTGCCTTACTGTCCCAGTGTTTTATGTCAAGAGCTGTGGTCGGAGTGTTCGTATACTCGTAGCTTTCAGAGGTGCGAACAAACCCGTTTAACCTGTACCAGACCTCAGGCCTTGGCTGGTAATATCATGTTATAGCTGCAGAAATGTTATAATTCCCATGTTGGTATTGTAATGAAAAGAAACAAGTTTACAGGGGTGGGGGATTTTAGTATGCCTATATAACATGATTGTTAATCATATCGATAAGTGGAACATTGTAATATTTTTATGAACATATTGTGCTTTAGGATATTTAGAGGCGAAATAAAACCCGATTTTAATATTTGGTTGTTGGCCAAATTTATCCCATTGTGTTGGTCATACGGTAGCTACAGTGTGTGTGTGTGTATATATATATATATATATATATATATATATATATATATATATATATATATATATATATATATAAAATAAAAAAAAAAATAAAAATTAGAGGGCTACCCGGCATTGCCCAAGTCTCTCCCATCTAATCATTTATATAGCCATCCCTGTATTCGTCTGTCCATCTATCTAACCAACTATCCATCAATCTATCTTCTGACTGTCCGTCTTGGTCTCTGTGACTTATAAAAAATAGAATTGTCTTATGTGTTGGTGGTCGCAAGTGAGAAGAGTTTAGTAGTGTGAAATATTAAAGAATAGTTCCCCTTTGATAAAGGGTTGTGGCTTGAGAAACTTGAAGCTGTTGAAAAACTCGTCAGTTTTATGCGAGTACGGGCAAATTATTGACAGCAGGAAATTTGTTCATTTCTCCCGAGATTGGTGAATAATGGTGCATATTAGTGTAAGAAATTTGTTTGGAATGTTTTTGAAAATATTTATTAGTGTAGCTGGCGGGCAATGTCAAAAATGGTCGTACTCGCCTAAGTGTGCTTGCGAGGGTCGAGTTTCGGCTCTTTGGTTCCACCTTTCAACTGTTAATCAACCGGTGTACAGATTCCTGAGGCTCTGGATATATAGACTCGTTCCTCATTTACATATATCAGAAACAGGATAGGACCGAGTACAGAACCCTGTGTGACTTCACGCCATCCCGAGGTCACAGGGGTTTGAATGTGACCGTAGCACGGCGTTCACTTATGAATTCTGGCTACACCGACCAGCCTGTGTTCATCCAGTACCCCAGACCATTCCATCTGCCAATTTGGGCGAGGCTAGGCCCAATCGTGTGGCCTCCAACTTTGAACACAGACATCTTCTTAGAGCTATGTATACTATATCTCGTCTCTTTATGATCAAAAGTTTTCACACGTAGGGAAAACGGGGAAATAAGCAAATATAAATAATTATAAATACGAATACGTTGTGGGCTGTCAGGGTTTTCAATGCAAGTATTTATATGAATTTCTTATTTAGAGTACTTATAAGATACATCAAAACAACGTTTAAGACAGCGTGAAAATTTTCTGAAAATTATCCGCTGGTATCTTTCTCCAAATTCAGCCCATGACTGCAAGTTCACAATAGCGAAAAGTACAAATAACAGAATTGCAGAAATGTGGAAAAAATACCAGGTTAGAGGTAGACAACTGGAGGGGTGAGCGTGGAACTAGTTAGTGGTGGTGGTGTTATCGACACCTCTGCTAGCCGGGAGGTAGAGATATGAGACCAGTTGTGACCAGACTTGTGGCGGTGCACCTGTAGCGTGGCGGTGCACCTGTAGCGTGGCGGTGCACCTGTAGCGTGGCGGTGCACCTGTAGCGTGGCGGTGCACCTTTACAAATATTAGGGCTCGGTTCGTGCCCATTATGCATCTTGGTAACATTTCCCACCATTATACACCCCATACACGATGTGTATGGGGTGATATGGTACATATCATATGTGATATGGGGAATTAAGGTACAGGATCTAATTGGTGGTGTTTCCGGGGATCAATGTTCCCACGGCTCGGTCTCTGACCAGGCGGTCTGGTTGGTGGTCATAGCCAGGTTGAGTAGGTATCCTTTTAGTTTCAAAAGTCGTCTTGAACACCGTGAGAGGTAACTTGCTTAGCTACATTAGTTTTGGCGTTCAGTTCCACACCTTTGTGTGGTGTGGTTTATTATGAATTATGTACCTCTGTAACCTGTTCCATTACCGTCCACGGGATGACATGTGACTCACACAAGAATGTGTAACTTGTGTATTTAGTATAAATAAAACAAACTAAATAGATAATATGCAGTCAATACTACAGTCGACAAATCCTAACTGTTAGGATTTGGTGACAACTCATCACTGAAATGTGACTGTTTACACATTTTAAGCGTTGTAGTTTGGACTGCTAATGTGTAGAATGTGTGTGGTGGGGGAATTTCTGCAAAGGTTGGTGGGGGGGGGGGGGTGAGGAATGACCATGTGGGTACCGACCCACTGACGCAGTGTGGCCTTGATGGGGGGGGGGTGTTGCTCTCAGACGTAAACACATCACCCCCCCCCCCCTTACACTCGTCAGATTTTGTTATACACTATCTACATTTCTGGTTAACTTCTCCACGTATTTTGTATATTTTGTAATGAAATTGTGGTTTACTTCACAGTGTTTAAGGTGTTAAATTGTGGTTTACTTCGCAGTGTTTAAGGTGTTTGCAAGAAAATCATTAAGTGAAAGTTATTAAGGTTTATTTTGCGATCTGGCAACTGTCGGGAAGGTAGTCTGGCCCACGGTGTTGGGCGGGGAGGGCAGGGGGCACGACTGGTGGGAGGGTATATAGAGACTATCCCGGGCACTAGAGCAAGTAAGAGCAACATTGCCGTGGACAGGAGAGGTTGTCAAAAGACAGACCGGGGCTAGGGCCCTCTTACCACCATCACTGCTGAAACACTTGCAGCAGATCAGCAGCACAAGTCATAACTCGCTCCCCAGATCACTGCATTTATTACAAATTGGTGCTTAAGGAAATTGCTGAAAATAATAACATTTCAAGGTGGTTTGTTGAAGAAACCAATTGGGAACAACTAGTTTTATTGAAGTAAAAGTGTTGACCGGACGGCTTGTCTTTAACCATAGACGATGGAGGTGTTGGCCAAATCGCTGTCGTCGGTGCCTCGCATCTTGTCCCTATGTAAGATAAGTTTGTGGTGAATTAGTTCTTTTTATATACAAAGTTCACAAGTGCTCTGACTAACATTCCAATAATTGTTCCCCACTACCGCTATTTTGTATACAACTAATATTGCTGCGTCTGAATCTCCTAACACACATTAGTACTTGTGTTAGACTAGTTACCCTTGCAGGTAAGCTAGTGTGATAGATATGCCTAAGGCCATTGATATGGCATAGAAAGTCCCAGTGAGTACAGTCGGGTTCCTTCTCGACTCTGTCGCGAATTCAGGGTTCGAATCCTGGGCGTGGCAGAAATGGTTAAGCGCATTTCCTAGTTGTCATCTAATGCCCCTGTTCACCTAGCAGTAAGTAGGCGCCTTTTATTATTATTATTATTATTGGGTTAAGAGAATGGAGAGGCACAGGTGAAGGGAAAGTTCCGAAACGGGAAACAGTTATGAAAGCAGGCGGGCTGTCCGCCTTGCTGACACGGTCTGTGTATTAGTAGGTGTCCCCAGGAGTTAGTCGGTTTGTGGTGGTGTTTCATCCTGGGGGGGGGGACCTCGATATAAGCCTAACTTGTATAAATACACTCTGCCTGCCTGTCCCCCGAATTATCGTTTTTATAAATGTTTATTTTTCGCATTTGTATTTTTATTTGTATTATGATTTTCATTTATTTTATTAACTATTTGTTAGTTTTTATTTTTTTTTAAATTGTATTACTTTTTATTATTATCATTAGTCTTTAAAAAAATAAATTCAATTTATTTTTTTCACTTCAAATTTTTTCAAAATTATTTCAAAATTGGGAAAACATTTTGATTTTTTTTAATTACATTTTGTTTGGAAAAAGTTGAAAACAATTTTTTTTTGCAATTATTCTTTTGAATCTTCACAAAATAGCCCTTCGTCTTAGTGTTTTATTAATTAGCTGTTGTAATTACATTTGTATGCGCTATCTATCGCTTTTAAAGTGTGGCAGTACTGACACCCTTTATGCCTTGCTATTGATTAGAATATGGAGTTGGACCAATACTTGACACGAACACTTGACACCCTCTTTCCTGGAAGGTGGGAGCGGGTTACTAATTGTTTACATTGTCGGTATAATGAATATGTACAGTACTTGACATTTTGTAAACAAAGTAAACTTAAAATTATTCTTAAATGGTTAATTCAAATTGATTTATATTTTTTCAAACTAGGAAAAAATCCTGACATATGGCACAGTAAATTTTAATAAATGGCTCAATCACGCAATATCTCGTGTATAATAAACACATTGTGTATACACGACTCCGCTCATGTATATAGGGGTATAGCAAGAGGGAGCATACACGCTCTAGGTCACATTCTCAAGGTTAATAACTTGTTATCGGGAAGATTTTGACGGAACCTAAATAACGCGAGTGTTGTCGAGCTCCGCCAGTCACCAAGACAATTTGATCTACCTCTCTTCTAGTCATAAACTTTCCTGCCACAAAGTTGAGACATTAGTTTTCACCACCATGTGCGGTTGTTGTTTTAGATTCAGCTACTTAGAACAAAAGTTCCAAAGTAGCACGGGCTATGATGAGCCCGTAATGGACTTACCTGGCACAGAAGCGGGGCTGTAGGACCATGTGCGGAGACTGACGCTTGTATATACAGGTATTGGGTGACCATGAGGGGGTTGGGAAGGGTTGTTGTCCCTGACCTTGATGTTAGTGCCACCATTAAACCCGCGCCTCGGCTTGGAAGCTTGCCAATGAGGGGTAGAAATAGCCTAAGCTACTCTATCCCTTTGAGATGTATTTTTTGTTTTCTTGTCTCAATAAACTTACTTGAACTTGAAGCTTGCCAGTATTTCATATCATGCACTCTTAATGTAAATTAAAATTTGCTAAATTTACATGAATTAAGCCTATTTTTTGTATTTAATATGAAAAATTATCACTTATTGAAATATCAAACTTTTTAAACACTTTTAAATACAATCCATTTGTAATCGGTTATTACATAATTAATTCAGATACCCATATGGATTACAATATTTTCCTAATACTTTTTACTATATACTCCTGTGTTTATTTTGAGCAGGAGTTCAACTACCGGAAGGTGATACGTTTTTTGTTTCATTCTAGCGTGTGGGTACTGCAGCCAGCATGCCTCGTCTGCCTCCCACACCTGTGCCCCGACTATGATGCCCGCCTCTACCCACTCTCCCACATCCTTCCACGCGCCAGCTTTCACTCATGCTCACGAATCTAGACGAAGAATCAACCGGCGGACGGAACTGGACTATGAGGAACTGAGGGCGCTGCAGGTGGCGGGCGATATCGCGCTCATCGACGTCCGCGACCCCCAAGAGCTGCAGAACTACGGCGAGATCCCCGGCTCCCTCAACATACCTCGTGAGTGTCCCAGTCTTACTGCCATTATGAGGGGCTTGGGTTGTGTCAAGGGGGGTCAACACTAATGTGGGGGTTGCAGCTGGAAAAGTATTGCAAGGCTGTGTCGTGGAACCTTGGGTTACCATGATATAAATGACTTCGATTCAGGACTAGACAAGAACATTATTTTAGTGCCGTCTGCAAATTTGCTAGATAGATAAATTTGGGCTATTACTCAAGGTATATAAAAGATGACCTAAAAATTACAAAAGCGTGGCAGAGGGTTGCATATTGCCAGAGGGTTTGTTTAATGCTAACAAATGTAACTGTCGGGTAAAAAGTCATTTTTTGTAGTCTGCAAAGCTACAAATTTAGATTTTTACACGAACAAAAAATTATTTCTTCTAAATTGTAATTGCCAAATCCGAATAGTAGAAATGTAGTTGTGACTAGTAGAGATCTTTTAAGCGAAAATAAATGTTTAAGTGTTCGGAATAAGAATACTAACATTCATATCTGGAGGCGTCAGCAGTTGACATCTTGTGCTATTATTTAGATTTATCTTGCCCTTATTAGGCCCCATTTAGACAGTGCAGCACAGTTTTGGACAATACTATAATGGACAAGTTCAAAATGAGTGACCAAGTTAATCCCAGGAATTGGAAGTCTCTTTTTGAGAGAAAAAAAATTGGACTTAATTTAAATTATTTAGAAAGGCGAAGACTTGGGAAGGGGGTAGATGCATGGTTATAATATACAAACAAATGAGATAACAAAAGGGAGTTAAAACTATTAACATGAAACTATGAATACAAATTGAGTAAGTTACACACGGAAATCACAATAGCGTGATGCATCAAATGAACAAATTCACAAGGGCCGTGACGTCATTAAGGTCAGTAGAACTTTCCGTTACAATTCTTTTACCATGTCGTAGCTCAGTCGATTAAGACAGCGTCTGGGATCCTCTCGGATATAGGTTCGAACCCTCGTTTCGGCCCTTGTGGATTTGTTCATTGAAAAAGTTAATGTTCAGAAATACTTTTTAGAAACAGGACTGTAGATTTCAGAAATGTTACCGGGTAACTAGACGTTTAATTTAAAATAACTAAAAATGCATTTAGACAACAGACGATTTTAGTTAATAAATTAAATAAACTATGTAGTTCATTTATTGTTCACCCCTTTACCCATCCTGCGAGTGGTGGTGGAAAATGATAGTAGCGCACAATAGTCTCGGGAACTGGACATTCGCAATCATTTATCTAAGAAAATTATAGCACCAGCTATAGTTTTATTTTAAACTTCATGTTTTTCGTTGGTTTAGTATAATTAACATGATATAAGCCACCTAATTGTTTAGGGGCAGAACCCCAATGTTCTTTAGGCTAAACAATTTATATTTGGGCGTTCTGTGAAGTTTTATTGCCTCGAAATGGTGAGTAGTGATTAAATTACCATTTCTAACGTTACGGTACATGATGATGATCCTAAGATGAGAATTAAAATAAGTTTGAGGTATAAATACACACAAAGGATGAGGTAACTAAAGCTATTCTCACACTGTTCAATACAACGTGTGAAATAAGTTATATGATAAATATTATATATATTCTATATAATATATATATTTATACATATATAATATATATGGTGTAAATCACAGCGCGTGATTAAAAAAGTGAGCGTCAGACCACGGAGGAAGAATTGAAACAGGAATTTCCTTAAGTACTTTCGTATATTAATATATAGTCATAGAATTCTAGTAAACCTGTGAGGCACGATTTATCATCTCTGAACCCATGTTGGTGGTGCGTTACATAGTTATTTCCCTCCAGATGCCCTAAAAGCCTTTTCCTCACGATCTTCTCCATTACCTTGCATGGTATACAAGTTAGGGAAACTGGCCTGTAGTTCAGTGCCTCTTGACTGTCAACCTTGTATATTGGGACTACGTTAGCTGTCTTCCAACTTTCTGGTAGGTCTCCTATTTCCAGTGACCTGTTATACACCATAGAGTGGCACACTTAGTGCTTCTGCACCTTCCTTTGGTATCTATGGTGAGATTCTGTCAGGCCCAACAGCCTTTGTCACATCCAGTTCCAGCAGACACCTTTTGACTCATCACTGGTGAGGTCAAATTCCTCCAAGGTTGCTTGGTTTGCCGCCGCCTCGTTTAAGTGCAGGGGCTTCTACTTGTTCTATTGTGAAGACCTGGAATCTCTGAGTTCGTCACACCACACCTTGTCATTCTCTGTGTATCTGTTCTCCCCTTTGTTCAATTTCATCACTTGTTCCTTCACTGCTGTTTTCCCCCTGATGTCGCTGTGGAGCAGCTTTGGTTGGGTCTTGCTTTACGCGCTGTCATTTTCAAACTGACTGTCTGCCTCCCTCCTCACTCTGAGGTACTCATTTCTGGCCCTCTGGTATCTCTCCTTACTCTCCGGTGTTCTGGTATTTCTGTAGTTTCTCCTACAGAAATACGTAGAACCTAATCCCACAGAAGCTGTCTGCTTCAGTGGGTGCAACTCTCCTCATAGCCTTGTTGACGTCATGTAATTATATCTTGCAGAGATTTGTGGGGAAGTTAGCCGTTTTGTTTGGTAAACAAAAATATGAAAAAGTTTGACAATAACCTGAGCTTGGTTGGTGGTGGGAGCCGGGTAGTTGTGTGGGCCGCTGGGAGTCGGGTGGAGGGGTCATAGGGTGTGCTCATGACACCGTGTAGCTTGTGGGTAAATATTGTTATCCTTCTGGATGTTATCGTAGAGTATTTCCCCCCATCCCCCCAAACTCGGAATATTGATTTTAACCAATAATATACACATTTGTTTTCGATGTTTTTAAAAGGTACACGTTTATCAAACAAGATACCTGAAAGAAGTCTGAGCTATCGGCACCCAGCTGGGCAACTCTTAAAATTGTTAATATATATATAATCTAAGTTTAATGTATTCCAGGGAACTTAGTGCTTAGGGTACTGGAGTGGACCGCTCCGCCGCACATTCTGGCAGATCTTTACGATTTATTCTTGGCACGTTGCGTTAGTTATTTATAATGCACCCCATACCCATCCCGTGGGCGGCACATTGTGAGGTTTACTGCCAGTTCTCCTCTACCTCATAACCTGTGACGTAATGAGGCTCGTCTGGCTTGGCACTAACTGAAATAAAATTGTTGAAGAATATTGGTCCAACATCTAGTGTATTTTGCACTTAGATTTATCGTGCTCCATTTCACTCTACTCCAATGACCCAAGTGGATTTATATGCGTAAATTATTGTATAAATATAATTGCAGTTTGTGGTGTAAAATAGTTTGTACACAAACTCTTGAAGACTGCTTAATGTTCTTGTGCGCTGGAGGCCTCTTGGGATTTACCAACACTTGTCAAAAGTTGATAGACTACGTAATCATTTTTGGATGAGAGATAAGTCAAATATCAGCATCATGACATCTTATCAGGCAGGAGTAGCTGATAGTCATCATACTGTGAGCTTCGCCCACACCTGTCAACCCACTTCAACGTGTTGGTACAGCGATGTCCTAGTTTCTTGCAGGTTGGCGTACCATTTTTTTTAGTTCCTTCACTCGGTCCTTATATTTAGTTATATTGCCCTCTTATCCCTCCCACCTGTTCGTCCAGACCATTATATTATCATAGCAATATGGAAGTTGTAGTGAAGGACCTGGTGACTCTAGTGGGAGCCCTGAGGACAGAGTTGGACTCTCTGCGGGAGGAGGTGCGTCAGCTTAAAAAACAACGAGAAGTAACGAAGGAGGAGACCAGCAGTAAAGGGACCTCGTCTTGGAGAGTTGCGAAAGACAGGGGCCTTAAGAAGACTTTGATAAAGCCGCCTTCAAACGCCATAGCAACTTCAAATTCATTTGACGTTTTGGAGGACGAGTGCTGTGGAGAGACTGTGGATCGCGTAAAAGGGAAAGCAACGAAGAGAAAGGAAGCGCAGGCCCCTCAGAAAGTAAAGGAAGTACCTAAGCAAACATTAGTTGTGGGAGATTCCCAGATAAGGTATTTGGATAGAACGTTTTGTGCTAGAGATAGGGGGAACAGGTTAAGGGTTTGCTATCCCGGAGCTGGCATTGGTGATATTATAAACAACATGAATGATATTATGGCTGGTAATGGGAACAATCCCATTATTTGCATTAGCGTGGGAGGAAATGATGTTGGTCGAGTCAGGAGTGAGGAACTGATTCAGAGGTATAAAACAGCCATAGAGTTAGTTAGGAGCAAGGGAGGAATCCCGATCATATGTGGCATTCTTCCAAGAAAGGGAGTGGGAAATGAATGGATATCGAGGGCACTTGGTGTCAATTGCCGGCTGGAAAGATATTGCAAATCAAATGCAATATCTTTCATAGACAACTGGGAACACTTCTATGGAAGAAATGAAATGTATGCTCGTGATGGGGTGCATCTATCGAGAGCTGGGGTTGTTGCTGTTGCGAACTCGCTAGAAGAAGTGGTTAGAGGTGTTTGTTTGGGTTTAAACTGTTAGTAGATAGAGGTATGGGAATTGATTTGGAGGAAGGAGGTAATAAAAGTATGTGTTTGTGGGAGAAAGGAATTGGCAAAACGATCAGGGAAAGAGAAGGTCCGCAAAATAACAATTCACTTAGGGTATATTACACTAACAGTAGAAGTCTAAGAAATAAAATTAACGAATTAAATGCTCTTGTCTGCACAGAAAAAATAGATATTATTGCACTTACCGAAACGTGGATGAATGTAGAAAATAGAGAACTATTAGCTTAATATCAAATATATGGATTTAAACTATTTCACACAGATAGATATATTAGACGAGGAGGTGGAGTAGCCATATATGTTAGGGACAATTTGAAATGTAGTCTCAAAGAGGGAATCAAAACAGAGCCACACACAGAAACTATTTGGATTGAATTAAACGAAAAAGCTAATAATATTATAATAGGAGTAATATATAGGCCACCAAATTTAGACAGAATGGAAGCAAAGCATCTATGGGATGAAATATCTA